GTTTCCAAAGTTTCTACCCAACTATCTAAAGTGGTTAATCACTTTAAACATGTTTGTTCTGACTTGTAGGAGTTGAGTGTGATCAGAACAACAAGTTAGAGGCTCAAGAAATTCACTTTGTAATTAAAGTGAACTTTTCAAGAATGGATATGTTGCTTTCTTTAAAAAATGGAATGATCACTTGGACAAAGGCTCAAACACTTGGATCATAGTTTAACCAGCTGTGTAAGCATTCAATTAAGGAGTGATATACAAGTTTGAGGCTTGTAAAGTGAAGATTATACATCATAGCTAAGATTTTGGTTCCTTGTTCATCACAAACCTGTCTTATAAATCAAGAATGAATGCCCAACTTCAGGCCCTTGAATATCTTAGCTCAAGTATGATAAATTCATGCTCTTGGATGTTATGGAAAGCTTGAAACATCCTCTATAACTTTCATGTTTTCAACTTTTATTAAATCAAATTGGAACTTAATGAAAACTGGACAAGAAGTTGGGATAAAAACCTGACCAAACCTGCTGAAAATTTCTCTAAGTGTTTATTCAAAAATGCCATGACTTCATGAATTTATAACTCAAAATATAAGCACTTCTAGGACTTAACCTGCAAAGAAAAGTTGTAGATATCATCAAGATCCACAACTTTCATGTTGAAAGTTTCCTTTGAATCTTCTTGCATCTTAGTGAAAGAATGGCATGAAGGAATGGAATTATTATGTATAAAACACTTAGAAAATTTTTAAGTCTTGGAAATCTTGACTTTTTACATTGACTTTTGACTTTCTTGACTTATTGATGATCAAGATTTGTATTTTTGAATGTCTTGATGAATTGTAATCTTTGAAACTTAATGTTGACCAAAAAGTTAAAGTTTGACTTTTGGTGCTACAATTGACTTTTTCATCAATACAACTGATTTTAGGTCATCTGATCAATTGACTGAGCAATTTTGGTGATCCAAGGCTTGAAACTTGTTATGAGCATTCTTGGAGGTCCGTAATTATATATTAAAGTCTTTTGAGGCATTAAAAGTCCAATTGTCCTTTTGAAAACTTAAACCCTAATTGGATGTATTAGTGTTGCGAGCTTGAGCCATTGAAGATCTTGTGAGAAATGTATTGAGAAAAGAGTGGGAAATTTTTTGGGTACAACAGGAGGTCCAGGCAAAAGTTAGGGATTAAAGTGTATGATTATGTCCCGTTGGATCTCTGCAGCCAATTTTATTACCAAGGTCCAAGTTCAATGGTACAAGATCAATCAAATCAACTTCTTTCAACGACAGGGGATTATGTTCGAAGACATAAGGACAATAGCAGAGTTGGAACACAATGAGATCACTTTCACATGACTATTTATTTTTGTTTTTACTTTGTACTATTTTCATTCTTTCGACGATTTCCTCTTACTAGGATTTCTGTCTCCTTGTACAAAAACACCTATTTTGGGCAAAGCATCAATACAAATATATTTGGAAGTGCAAAACTTTTTTTTTTCTATTTCGAGTGCAAAAGCTTCCAATGAATAAAATCAAATGAGCATATGCATATGAACATGATTAAATTGTTAACAAATGAACAAGCATCTCCTTAAGGATTTAGGATGATCCCCACAGAGTTGCCTTAATAAAATTATCCCCACAGACCTAAATTCATGCAATCCCCAGCCAGAGTTTTCAATCTTTTGAAAAACCCTCTCCCCAGCTGAGTTGGTCTAAAAAGGCCCTTGTGGCTTTCTCCCTAAAGGAGTTACCTCTCCAGCAGGTCGTCAAATTTTCTCTTCAACAAGGTTTATTTCCCCAACAAACTGCAAATTTCCTAGCTTGAGTTTTCTTCTCAGACTATTACGAATCAACAGACAAAACCTCTTAACCCCCGACAGAGTCATTGCAATCCCTAACAGAGTCGTTACTATCCTCAAAAGTGGATGTGAAGCCTAGAACCTGACCAGATAACAATTGAATCCATTCCTCCAAAGCAAGTTACTGCAAAGTCTGGAATCTGACCAGATAACAGTTTAACTTCATCCTTTCTAGCAAGTTACTGTGAAGTCTGGAATTCGACCATATAATAGTTAATTTAATCTAAGTTGTTGTGAATCCTGGATTCGACTAGATAACAACTAACTTCCTTTCTCTCCAATCAAGAGATAACCCCCAGTAGAGAAATGGACATCTAAAAATCCCGAACTCTTTCCCCCAAGCAGAAATCAACACTCTCCATAGAGTTTCCCTCAAAGCAAAGTCAATGTTCCCCAACAGAGTTTTTCCTCAAACAACAAAACAGGATTCCCCCGGCGGAAACACCCTAAACAAATTTTGAATATACACATACTCTTCAACAGCAGTTCAAGATTTAAAGGCTCCCCAACATTTGTCAAGGATTTATTCTCCAAGACAAAGATACATTTCAACAATATTTCACATTCATACATCATATTACATACATGATAAATACATGCAACATAGTCTCATTTATTTTGAGAACATCATCGAGACATGCATACATTTGCATGCAACTAACTCTTTTCCCTGCAGGAAAATTCAATCAACAAAACAGAAGTCCTCATCTAGATAGATTCACCTCTTCCAGTTAATAATAGGCAATCAACAGTCCTCTTCTGGATAGATTCCCTTCTTCGAGTTAATGATAGGCGGATCAAGGACCTCTTCTGGTGTAAATGTATTCTCTTCCAGTTATCAACGGGAAAATACCACTAACATTTCTCTTTGGTCAGATAAATATCAATTCTCGAAACAAACCAGGGCAACTATCTCTACAACCAACAAAAAGCGGGTTCCAGATTAATACCTGAAACAAGATAGGACAACTATCTGTGAATAATTGATTATAGATTAATACCTGAAACAGGACATGATAACTATCTACATGAGCAAATTGAAGATTAACTCCCGAAACAAGACAGGGAAACCATCTTTCTTTCTCTTTGGTCAGATAAATATCAATTCCCGAAACAGGACAGAGCGACTATCTTTATTACCAATGGTATGAACTCCCAAAATAGGACGAGTTTACCAACAAACTGATTGTAGATCAATTCCTAAAACAGGACAGGGCGAATATCTACATGACAAAAACTTCCTTTAAAACCTCTGCTGATTCAGTTTAAATCGATAATGATTTATCCTGATTCTGTTCCGGCAGACATTTTCTCTGGTTCAGTCAAATCGACCCTAAGATTTTTCTGATTCTTATCCAGACAAAAACAAATACAGACATATGCTGTTTTGGTATAAATCGACCAAATATTTACCCTGATACTTCTTCCATTTCTCTATCAACAGTCACTTCTGGATGGCATCTATAAGGCCATCTTCCACGATTCTCAACCACTTCTGGATGGCATCTATAATCCCATCTTCGACAATATTCAATCACTCTCCAAATGGCATCTATAAGCCCATTTCTGGTACAATAAATCCAAAGTGTTACTTCTTACACAAGTGAGTGCAAATTTTTGGGCACTCTAGTGTTCAATCATCTTCTACTTTCAAGCTACGAACGATAAACATGCCAATCTCACTTTTCAAGTTTAAGAAGATTAAACAAGGGCAGTTGTTGTACCCCAAAAATTTCCCTCCCATTTTTCATTCAAGATGTTCTCCTAGGGTTTCTCAAATACTCAAAATGGCTCAGGGTTTGATAAAACAGACTCTCCTCCTAAGCACTGAGTCAATATCTAGGGTTTGGTATTTCTCAAGTAAAATTGAGTCTTCAAGGTTTCAAAGGGTCTTCATGGTTCTTCATGTATTCACAAGGACACTCGTGCCAAGTTTCAAGCTTTGCATCGCAAGTTTGCTCAGTCAATGGTTCAGATGACTGAAAATCAACCGCATTAACCCAAAAGTCGACCTTTTTCAAGATAAAGTTCAAACAATTGTAACTTCTTCATTATTCAATATTTTTAGTGGTTCTTTTTGCGTATGACTCTCTTTAACGTCATCTCCAGTTTCTCTTTACAAGTCCAGAGCCGGTTGTGTGCGAAAGATCATCAAAAAATTCAAATATTTTAGAGGTCATTTTGAAAATTTGGTCTAAGCACAAGAAACTCTTGTCCAATTTGTGAGGTTTATAATTCCTTCAATTCTCAACGTCCTGAGACGATTCTTTTTGCGAAATATCACAATAGTGTTGTCTACGAGAATTACTTCAAATATCAGAGTGAAATTATACTGAGAAGGTTTTAAAACTTATCAAAACATTATAATTCAATTCGTGACTTTAAAACATCTGGCTTATAATCTCAATTCATGAAGGTATTATTGTTGTGGTGATTGGATGCAAAGCATGACACAAGATATGAGGCAACAAATTCATTATGATCGAAACTTGTTTGTTCCCTTTTGTTTGCAAAAGCAAATTGGTTTGAATTTTGAGTTCAGTTTTAATTTAGAATTGAAGTAAGATAAATTAATTTAAAAGATCACTTGATTAAGGTTTAAAGCGTTCTAAGCTTAGAAGGAAGTTTCATTTGGATGTCTTGAAATGTTGAGTTTCTTAGAGTTTAAAGCACCACCATCTTTTCAAAGTTTCATTGCGTGTCACGCAAGTTCGATTAGAATGTTGAATTAAAATTCAAGAGGCAAATAATTATAAGGATCTTTCAATCATTTGAAACTTTAATTGTTGATACATGGACAAGTCTTGACCTAAACAGGATTCAAAATTTACCTTTCAAAGTTCTCAAGTCCATCATCAAGTTTGTTCACATAGTAGGCAAAGTTTGATTCAAACTCGTCATTGTTCAAAAACTTCATTCAAATTTCAATCTACAAAAATTACAAGCAAGGATTTATCAAGTTCAATTATTCTAATGTGCAATTAAGTTACAAACAATTTCATTCACTCAAAGTTTCATATTACTACATCAATTTCAAAAGTTACAAGTTTGTTTTATCATGGAGAATTTATCCTAAAGTTTTGGAAAATTCTACAAGGCTTCCTAAATCTTAATTTGTAAAGTTTTGATGCCTTCTTCAAGCTACCAAGTTTCTTCATGCCAAGCTCCACCATTTCTCTTCAAGCCTATCCACAATTTCCTCTTACAAATCGTCTTTCCATTTTCCACACTGTCACATGAAACAAATCAAAGGAAGACAATATTAGCATATACACAATGGAACATAAACAAGAAATTTCCAAGATTCCTCATTAGGGTTTGCATTGGGAATCAGAAAAAATGGTGTCGTAATCACATTCAAGCAGCCCAGCCTTATAGCAAAATCACAATTTAATCATGGGCCTAAAATTATTGTGAATCACAAATTGACTTGGTTCACAATAGACAAATGCAAAATTCAAAACAACAACATTCCAAATCAAGAATTTAAGCCCAACAAAAGCCTCAAAACATTATCCTATCATTGGCCCAAAGAAATGTCTTCATTGCAAATCACAAAAATATATCTTGGTTAACAAATAAGACATTCCAAATAACAAGGTCATTATTAAAAAAAATAGCTTGCATTACTGTAAAAAAGGGACAAACACAAAAGGCCAAAATACTATCAAAAACAGACTGCATTGCTGCCCCAAAAAACTGCATTGCAACCCTGTAGAAGCTATACCAAAATAGTCCAAAAATATGCATCAAAACTAGTCAATAAGCCAGCCAAGATTCCACACAAATAGGCAATACAAAAGTTGTGTCAAAAAGTTGTAACAACAACATATCTCAAGTGTTCAAACCCAATTTATTTACCCCCCAAAATTTTCATTCCCTTACTGATATAAGAGAAACAGATAACATAACAAAAATGAGATCGAATTGTCCATCAAAAAGAAAAGAACAAATCAATTTTTACATAACAACAAATATATTATCCATCAATACAGCAACCAAGCCAAATCCGAAAATAACAACATCAATATCCCCGTTCAAGAGATTTAGGGCAAGGCATCAATAGCCCTGTTTTTTCTATTCATCATTTTCCTTGAGCCATACCCCTTCAGAAAAACAAAAACATCTCTTTAAGAAAGAAATGAAATATACCGAAAAACAGGAATCAAATTGCCTGTCAAGAGAATATCCGTGAAATCACCAATAACAAAATCAAGCACAATATTTTCAGAAGCAGATCCAGATCGGTAAATCTTAATTACTTCTCTGCATTTACCGAAACCATAAATATTGAATCTGTATTTGCATGCATTCTTTTATTTTTATAACCAAATAAAATCTAGAAAAATTATACAGTCAACCCTTAAAAAAATAACTTACCTCTTCAACCTCTCTCTCTTCAACTTCTCTCTCTTTTTCATTCAAACCAAACAGTGTTAAAATTCCAGCCACATCCATTTTCGTAAGGAACAAAAACATGTATTGAAAGAATATGAGGAGTGTAGAGGGCGGAGAGAAGATGATTTTCATTAGAAAGAGAGTGTGTTTTATTTTCTGTTTTTTACCGTACAATTAGCATAGAGAGTAAGGAAAGAGATGAAGGGTTTTGACATCAGTGAGAAGTTCCCTTTTCTTTTTTTTCTTCTGTTTTACGACAAGATTTTTTTTGGATAATAATATTAAATTGGTGGTTTCCTTCCTCAGATATTAACAATGATGATCTGTTATTTTACCTTACCCATACAATAATAATAATGTTTAATCAATTTCTGTTTCACCATAACTCCCAGCGGCGCGCTTCACTACCCTAGGGTTTTCAAGACCCTTCTTTGTCCAATTCTAGACTGGGTCGGCCCAATGGGCCTCCTATCCCAATCCTCTACCTAATCACTCCCTTTTATATTAATATAATAATAATAACTAACGAATAATAACTTAGTACAATTGGAAAAGCACATGACCAATAATCTTAAGGGACCCGATTCAACCCTTGCTGGGGCCTTTATTCTGTTTTTCTTATTTCTTTTAGCTATACTTCCAATTCTTATTTGATAAATATTAGTTTAGGTTTAGTTTTAATTTAATAATTCAATAATATAAATCTCAAATTATTTAGTTTATTTTCTTAACTAATTTAGTTAGGGATTTTGTAAATAATTTTACTAATTAACTTTTTTATTTAGTCTTAAATTTTTTTTTTCTTTAAATTCTTCATAATAAAAAAAAATATACCAAAAGATATATATACATTCGATTTAATTTCTTTGTAATAAATTATTTTCTCCTCTAGAATAGGTTTTTATTTTTCTCTTCAAAATTTCTCACAAACCAAAAATACCAAGAATTTTATTTCCATATTTTTACTTTGTTAATTAAATTTTATTTCATAGATTGTTGTAGTTTTAATTAATTATTCGATTCAATTTGGTTGTATTGATTGTTCATTTAGATTTTTAATCGCATTGTCGATTCGATCTATCCCCATTTGTAAATTTGTATTCCCCATTCCTGAAAGCTATGTAATAGCGTAGAATTTTAATTTCCATAATTTACTGTTTTTTTTTCTTTATACTGTATAGTAATTAGGCGTGTATGGTAAGATTTAAAGTCAACCGCTAGACAATCCTAATAAAAAAATTAACTTGAATCAAACACACTTTTCACACGCGCACCTATAGGGTAACCTCGCTTGTTGTCTTGGAAAAATAGTCATGTCCCTCGAATGTGGGATGCTTTAGCAAAGACCCTTAGATAAAAAAAATATCATAGTCCCTCGATGTTGCCTTCGGTAAATGATCTAGTCCCTTACGAAAATTGCTAAAGTATCATACAAGTTTCCTTCTATGACTATATGATTGAACCGCGCTTATCCCTTCACATCCAATGATGGGGCTTCTTACCAATCAATGGTAAGATAGCAACAACTAAAGGAGGAGGAAAAGAACTAAAGACTCTTTTGAGTAGGTAGAAACATTCATAGTTGCTTGCTCATAACATTTTCAAAACAACTCTTTCAAAACACACCAACACATTCAAAACGAAATATTTTCAAAAGTCAACATTGTGTATACATTCTTATAGAGATGAGAATCATTACAAAGTTCTCCTAAACAAAGACCCTTTTCAAAAATAATTTCAAAACAATCACAAACACATTTGAAACAAAGCATTTTCAAAGTGATCAAGCAACTAAGAGCCCGTAGATAACTACAGATGAAAAAGGTGCTAACACCTTCCCTTTTCATAACTTACCCCTCGAACTCAAGAAAAATCTCAAAAAGGTCTTTCCTGTTCTTTTCACCCTTTCTTTTATTGAATAAAAGAAAAGTCAGTGGCGACTCTTGCTATCCGCAAGAATTGCGATAAAACGCAAAACACCCAAGTCAGTTCTCCCACCGTATTACATATCCCATGGAAGAGGCAATCCAGATCCAAGATACATCTACACCACCTCCCTGGGCATCACACGCGTAGCAAATATCTTGTTATTATGATTGCTCCATTATATAAAGGATATTCGTGAAGAATTTAGGTACACTATTTCATATTCTAAACATCACTAGTCTTCTCTTTTACATACTGACTTGAGCCTTGTAGTGCTAACCTTGCAAGCCAACCCCTCCTCGTCAGCATTAGAGCTTATATCTACAATTGTCCTTCGCAACCACCAATCCTTCAACTAATTCTAGTTCCATAAAGAAACAGTGGCACTATTAGTGGGAATCGAATTCTAATTCTTGCATTTTCCATAATCATGCATTTTTTCTTCAATCCATCAATTTGAAATCTTCTTTCATTTTTAAATCAGACTTATCGAAATCAAACACAGGATCCATTATGTTCGACAATGTCAAATAAAGGATCAACCTTAATTTCCTTATTTTCAAAGTTCATAACTTCCAAACTTTTCACCATTGGCTAGATCTAAAGCTACATGTTCTGTCACCTTAAGCGGAGTAGCTCTCGCTGCCACTCAAGCAAGGATAACTCAACCACCTTCCCCTCCCCCTTCCCCTCAAGGTATTGCATATCAAGTGGTGGAAGACATTCTATTGCATTTTAATTTACTCCAACCTCCTCAAATTACAGGATCTACTCTAGTACCTCAGTTCAGGCCTCCAAAACTGTCACCAGCCCCATGACTTGAAATATTGTCTGGTTCCCAACAATTGCAAGCTAATCTCAGAATACAAGACACTAATTAGTTATTGAATAACGTGTATAACATCTTCAAATAATATAATTCATAGGAAATATAGGAAATATTTCTTCGCCTTGAATAAAGTTTACACAACACACCTCTAATGGAGAACACTATGCAAGAAACCCTTTCAAAGAGAAGCCGAGTTGTCACCCCCAGGCCGACCGCATCATGGAGGGATAAAGATCCAAAATTTCTTAATTTTTAGAATAGAAATAAGCGAATAACTCTTCCTCAGAGCCCCAAGGGAGAATGAGGTAACCATCCTCCTCTTCAAGATCAGAGGGAGAAACCACAAACCAAGAATATGCAGAAACATCCTCTATGTGCATAAATTTTAGACATTAGGATATTGAAGTCATTGAAGAAGCCTCATAGACTAACGAGTATAACAAAAAAGGAGATCCTGACGAACATGTTCAACTCATTGATGATCATTTGAATAATTTCACTACTGACAAAGCTTCCAAGTGCTAACTGTTTACACTGATTTTGACAAAATCTACTAGGCTATGGTTCAAATATTTGTCATACAGGAGCATCAAATCTTGAATAGACCTTTGATAGAGCTTCACAACCCATTTCACACCCAGGAAAGGCCACTAGCAATAGTAGCTACCTTAAGCAAGATAATGCAAGGAAGGGAAAAAGTTTACAATCTTACATAGACCATTTCACACAAGTGATCGTGGAAGTAGAAAGGGATGAGTAAGGTGTTAAATGATGGATATTTGAGAATGGCACGTTGAGAGATATCCCCTTCATATAGAATCTTGGAAGAAGGTCATAATCCTATTTAGAACATGTTGGCTCACTTTATCTGTATTCTCTAATTTCACTATCCAAAAAGTTCTGTTAAGGGTGCTCGCATCAATAAACCATTATACTCACCACCTTTTCAAAAAATGATAAATATTAAGTGTTATTAAAAGAAAATCAAAATGGGAAAAGTTAAAGACATAACCAGTAATAGATATAGACGGTGACACATTTTTTTAATTCATTTTGACTTCCATTTAATGTATATCAAACTGTTCTGGTATGACCGGAACAACCATAGGTCAACCACTCAAAGGGAGTTACAATTTGTTGAGATTACTCGTAGAACAGGGGAACTACCCCATGGAATAATATAGGAGTCCCAGATCTAAGATATATCCACCCACCCCTTGGCATCACATGCCTAGAAAATAGCTTGTTATTATAATCATTCCATTATATAAAGGATACTAGTGAATAATTTAGGTACACTATTTCATATTCTAAACATCATTACTCTTCTCCTTCACATACTGACTTGAGCATTGTAGTGCTAACCTTGCAGGTCAACTCCTCCTTGTCCGCATTGGAAGCTCATATGCACAACTGTTCTTCACAACCACCAATCCTCTAACTAATTCTAGTTCCATAAAGGAACAATGGCACTGTTAGTGGGAATCGAATTATAATTCTTACATTTTCCACAATCACGCATTCTCTCTTCGATCCATCAATTTGAAACCACTTTTATTTTTCAAATCATACTTATAAAATCAAACACAGGATCCATTACATTTGAAAAAGTCAAATAACAAATCAACCTTAACTTATTTTCCATATTCATAACTTCCACACTTTTCACCAATGGCTAGATCTAAAGCTACATGTTCTGCCACCTTACGTGAAGTAGCTATCGCTGCCACTCAAGTGGGGATAACTCAATCGCTTCCCCTTCCCCCTCAAGGTATTCCATATCAATTGGTGGCCGACAACCTATTGCATCCGAATTTACTTCAACCTCCTCAAATTTCAAAATCTACTCTAGTACCTCAATTCAGGCCTCCAATACTGTCACCAGCCTCACGACTTGAAATATTGTCTAGTTCCAAACTATTGCAAGCTAATCTCAGAATAAAAGACACTAATTAGTTATTGAATAACGTGTACAACATTTTTCAACAAAATAATTCATATGAAATATAAGAAATATTGCTTCACCTTGAAAAAAGTTTACACAAGGGAGAACACTGCGCAAGAAACCCTTTCAAAGAGAAGCCAAGTTGTCGCCCTAGAGCCGACCGCATCACAGAGGAATAAAGCTCCAAAATTTAATAATGTCTAGAAGAGAAAGAACTGCATAACTCTTCCTCAGAGTTCCGAGGGAGACCAACGTAACCATCCTCCTCTCCAGGATCAGAGGGAGAAACCACCAGCCAAGAATATGCAGAAACATCCTTTATGTACATAAATTTTAGACAGTAGGATATTGAAGTCATTG